ACTGTATAAATAAAAAGAAACAAGATATTGTTCATTAATAGGTTTGATTAGCAATTAACTGGTATCACATATGGTACAAAATAACTGTCAGAAAATAGTGCTTAAATACTCGAGCCTAGTATAGTTTCTTAAAGTATGAATTAACTAGTGCAGTCATTCGGCATATTTTTATCTTACTGTGTTTATTCTTTTAAGAAATGCTCAAGTCAATTTGGCTACTGTTTTTTAGACTTCTGTTAGACATATCATTTTGGAGAAGTCACACAATTACTTCTTACAGATGTCTTTTCACTAACAATTTTATAATGCATTTTCATCTAACTTCTTTTTGGACTGTGATTTTTTTTCTGTGTAGTGTGTTTAAGGGTGAAACCTTAAATTTCATGGCCCTTGGGTTATGTTTACACTCATTCGTTCAGAACATACGAGCCTGAATGTGTTTTTTTACATTCATTCTTAATTCCTATTATGTTGATTACATTTAAAAATTCTGACATTTTATATAGTTTTTATATACTTTAGCATTTTGGCAACATTAATTTATTCACTATCGAGGAACTTAATTAGATATATATTGTCATGGAAAAGTTATATTTAAAGGATAGTTGTATGTGTTTGTTTTTACTTTTGGTTTTAGTTCCAGCGTGTTGTCCTTTTGGTTTTGTTTTATTGCTTTTTTCTTTAATTTTGCTTACCAGAGCCAAAGCCTTAGTAGAAGAACAACGCCTTTTGTTCCTAGGGTTCAGGTAAAGGCCTTGTCTGCCTGATAGAAACTAAAGTTGTGTTTTAACCCTTATTTGTATGTTTTTGGAAAATGCGTAGTAGGAAAACTTTTTTTGGTATGTTGCTCCGAGCCATATTATTGACTTTCAAATCATTTTATGGGCCAGCTTGAAATATTATGCATGGGATTAAAATACAAAAAAAATTTAAAGAGACAATCTTGGTTAGTGATTTTATATGATGAACTGAATACTAAAACTCATAGGTTTCAGAGTTGCAATTAATGTAGATTCCACTTGTATATGTAACATTGAAATCGGTAGCTAATTTTATACTTTTGATATTTTTCCTTTATTGCACAAGGCAGCTGTCTCTTTAAATCAGTCATTATACCACTTACCATCTACATTCTCTTGCATTTTCCAAGCAATAACTCCTGAAGAGATTGGCAAATAAATTCGTAC